GCAGAAGGAGAAAAAGGGAGTGGAAGGAAGGACTGGACGGATATGCTGAGGGAGATAGGAAGAGATGTGACGGAACACTTAAGAAGGATGGAAAGAGAACTGAGAGGGATAAGAGAGGTAATGGAGAGAAAGGAGGAAAGAAAAAGAAGAGAGGAAAGATGGAAGAGGGAGAGGCAAATAGAAGAGGAAAGGGAAAAGCAGAGAAAGGAAGAAGAGGAGAAACTCGAGCGAGAGAGGGAAGTCGAGAAGGAGAAAGAAAAGGAGGGAAAAGGAGGGAAGCAGGAGTTGAACGAGAGAGAAGGAAGATGGAAAGTGATGGAGAGGAAGAAGGCCAGTAGAGAACAAGAGGAGAAGATGGAGAAGAAAGAAATGGAGATGAGAAGAAGGGAGGAGATTCGGAGAAGGGAGGAACAAAAGAGGAAGGAGGAAAGAGAAGAGAGAGAAAGGAAACAAGAAGCAGAGGAGAAAAGAATGAGAGAGAAGGAAATAGAAGAACGAGAGAGCAGCGAAGAGGAGAAGAAACAGGTAGAGAAGAATGGAGAGAAGGGGGAAGGAGGAGACGGAAGAAGCAGAGGAAAGGGAGAGGAGAGGATACAGAAAATGGAGAAGGGAGGAGAGAGAGAGAGAAATAAAGAAGGACAAGGACAAAGAGAAGGAGAGACCAGAAGCGGAGAAGACGGAGAAGGCGGAATGGTGGAAAGAAGAAGAAGAGGAAGCTGAGAGAGAAGAAAAGTGCAAGAGAGAAAGAGAGGAAAGAAGAGGAAGAAAGATCATATGGAAGGGGGTAGAGGGAAAGGATAAGGAGGAGAGAGAGCAGAAGATAAGAATAGAGGACTGGATGAGAAGAGAGACAGAGGTGGAAAGAATTATAGAAAGGCAGGGAGAGGGGGGGAGAGTGGTAGCGATAGTAGAGATGAAGGAAGCGAGGGACAAGAGAGAGATTCTGGTAGGAAGGGAATGGATAAGAAAGAATTGGGGAGTAAATATAGATGAGGACTTGAGTATGGAAGAGAGGAGAATTAGATGGAAGATGGTAGAGAGGGCGAAGATAGAAAGGGAAAAGGGAAGGGAGGTTCGGGTGGAGAATAGGAGAATGTGGGTAGATGGGAAGGAATGGAAATGGATAGGAGATGAGAAAGGGAAGGAAAGGAGTGAAGGAGAATCAAGCGGTTAAATAAAAGGTAGTAAAATGCATTTTAATTGTAGGAAGGAGAAAGGAGAGGGAAGCAGAAGGAAAGAGGATTAAGGAGAGAGAAGAGGCACAGGAGGGAGGAGCAATAGGAATGGCGGAGAGGAGGAGGCAGGAAGGAAAGGAAATAAAGGAAGGAAGGAACGAGACAAGACGATAGGAGAAGACGTAGAGGTAGAGAGGAAGGAGTGAAAGAAGATGGAGGGTTAGGGGTAGAGGGAAGGTCGAGGGGAAGAGGGGTAAAAGTATGTGAAGGTCGCATACGGCCAGGTCGCGGTAGGAGGGGTACGGATAAAGATGGAAAGGGTTCGGGAACGCTCCCTATAAAAGCGCCAATTGAGATTGTAACCCCAAGGGGAAAACAATAAAGATCTATTCTATTCTATTCTACTGAGAAAGTCTTCCTTTTATATATAAACTCACAAAATTTTATACGTATGGTTTTGTCTCCAACACTTATTCGAATCCTCGTTCGAATCATTTGAATAAATAAAATAAAAACACAGAACAGATGCTTTCTTTGCACAAGTAGCAAATAATATAAAAATTTAAGACACTTGCCTCACCACTTCTGCGCCGTTGCCCGATGCCTCCTGGGCCTGCTCCTTCTCTCAGATTTCCTTGTTGCACTTCACAAAACACTCGCGAAATTCATCGATCGCGCGAAATTTTCGACACTCCCGTACGCGACGTGAAATACCGCGAAACGCACGAAATATTATTGACAAATATCACGTGACTCTCTATCACAAATTGCTCAAACTGACAACTTGCACTTTTGATTCGGAAGAATGGATAAATCACTTTTGAATTGGTGATATAAAATGCAACGCGAACATTCTTTACATAATGTAACGACGTGCAATAAGCGACTTTCTTTACTTCCTGCCCGTTCGACTTCCGAAGTACGACAGAGCAAATTACAGCGCGAAAGCCGAAGCCGTACGAATTTCTCTCTTTTCCCGAAAATGGAACAGATTGCACGAAATCGATAGATAATTAACAGAGCGGTGCGTAAACGAGATGTAACCGCGACAAAGTATCACGGTTTACATTCATATCTTAGATGAGTTAGTCTCGTGATATATACGTTAATAAAGAGCCGTCGCCTCAACATGCATTTCGTTTCTCGTTACAAGTTGTAGAAACTTAGTAATTAATCAAGGAACGTTACTTGTTACTAATGAAGGTGTGCAAATCAATAGTGTTTTATCCCTGCATTCATCGCAATCGAGTCTTGGAAACCGATAACGCAAAAGTAATACCACGCACGGAGCGACTCTCGACACTGCCTGCCGGCTCGACGTTCGGCGAGCGAGTGAGAGCGCGGCGACCTTCAGGTACACGATGGCACGCAAAAACATCGTACGTCACCGCGTCGAGTGAAAAACAACAAAAAAACGTTGAGAATTCGTTGACCCGTCTACGTAATGGAAAATTCCGTACTTAATATTTTACATTACTTTGTTCCGCGGCTGTTACTACGTTTTGCGTATCATTCTGCGGACTTATTGGTACTCGTATATTGATTAAATTAACGATTAATTCTGTTCAATCGAGAAAATGTTTCGTAACAAAAATCGTTGTTACGTAAATTATAATTACTAAGATTAGAGATTTTACCTCAATTTTACCTCAACCTTTAGTTGGTGTATACAAATGTATATTTTTAATTGCAAATCTTCATTTACTACGAATCTAAAAGAGAAGTGAAGCACACCGCGCTTCGAGAAAACCAATCGGCATTGCAGAAAAGAGGCCTCAACTGTTCGATATTAACGACATTCATGCTATTAACATCTCTTTTTTAGAAAGAGAGACTCTTGAATATTCTTAAAATGTTCATAGGAGTGTCTTGTGCTATCCGGGCACGTTCTATGGAGACCGCTCCGGGTGTGAAGAACACGTTCTATTTTCGAGATACATAAATTTACAGGGAAAAAGCGATAACCATCTCGCATCTGCCACCCTCGTATTAGTTCAATAACTTCGGCGGTCCATTTCCTCGGTTCTGGAGGCGACCTTCACGAGCGATCTCAATGGACGCGCGTCGCAGATATGCGCGCGCCCAGCATCCTGCCGCGGACATGTGCATCTTATTTACGCAGGATTCGAAGCGAGACCGTGAGTATCCTGGCGCCTCTCCCGGTGATTTACCACGTCGAGGGGCGGGCGTCGTTGTCGACGCGGAAGGATGCACCGAGGGTGGAGATCACAGACGCGGGCTTCTCGACGGGGAGGCGGCTGAGCGCGAGCGACTTCCTTGTTATTACGCGGTCGAATAAATTGCTGTTTGCTTCTTTTGCGGGATGTTTTCACGGATTAAGACGGATCGTACAGGCGCGACGACGGGATAACATCACGTCCGCGACATGTGCCAGCCGGTTCGCCGTTGGAGGAAGAAAGACATCGGCTGTGAGATAAACGCGGAGCCGAGCGTCGAAACATCAAAATGAAAGAATATCAAGATAATAATAAAAGATTACAAAATAGTCCTTAAATTATAAAGCAATGCAAAGTCCAGATTTACTTACAAAAAGAATACCTAAGAACAATTAAAATTTGAAGTCACAAAGCCTTATATAGTACGTGAAAAAAAGTAGCTACCGTAGTTAAAAAACCGCATGTGGTAGCTAAATTTCAGTTGTAAAATATAGACAGCTAATATATTTAGTTGCGATAGCTAATATTTTGCTATCGTTTCTACTGTATTAGGTGCGACGGCAAACCGTTCGCTGCGGTTTAAAAATTATTAGTTACGGCAACAAAATATTTTTAGCCACTGATTATCTACGGTAACAGAAATTTTTTTCAGTGCATTCAATCTAATTGGTTAGAACAGAAAAGGGATATGTGACAAAATCATATGCGCATTTGAGAAAGTGGAAAACTATGAAATTTTTTCGGTAGGTTCCACGCTACTCTTTGCCCTGAAAAAGAGGCGCCTTGAAGTAAATCTTCATTAAAATTCTTTTTAAACAGATGCGCCTGTTCCTACAGTAGAGCGAGGATCCCATCGTTAACTCGACTTCAGTCGAGTAAAAATGTCACATGTTGCCTCTCCGTTCCACCAGCGAGGTTCCGCTGCTTCGTACTTCAAAAGAGAATTGTAGCGTTTATTGATAAATTGCAACACGAAATGTGGATTCGTGTTGCACATACATTCCCGCGGGGCTTAAACGGAGGCTAAAACGGAAAAGTTTACGTACACAGCCGGGGGAGGGACTCTGAAAGAGTTAATAAACAGTCACTAGCGCGGAGAGGAACGTCGTGAAAGCCACGGATTTATCCGCGGCCTGCGTGAGGGGCCCGTAAACACGACATTCGACAAGACGAGCGCGCGCGCTCGGTTCACAGGACGCGTCCTTCCTCCCGAGCGCACCCGGACAACGGGGCATTCAGCGCCGGGATTCTAACAGTTTACCGGAACGGTAAACCGCGCGAGAATGCTCGCTGTCTCCCCGCTCGTGTTCCAGCGATAAGTCGGAGAATAAACGAGCTTCCTCTCGTTCGCGAAATTCCTTTGTAACAGGAGTCCCTTTGAGCGGCGAGCTGCGGTACGTTCCCGCCGATTAGCTGCGTGGATAATCCTCCTGGTCGATTATTAATAGATTCATTTGTCGGCCGCGAGAAGAACCGCTCTTGCTGAAAACCGATGCGCTGCACGTCTGAAATTTAAACGGCGCTCCGCCGCTCGATCCCTGAATCTCTGAAATATTGAACATATTCTTTTAGATTTCGATACGCAACCTTTCTGACCAAGGATTGACCGGGCGTTTGGATGACTTGACTTGACGAGGTACGCGCGAGGTTTTTCAAGTAAGTAAACTATATTCCACACGCTTACAGTAATAATAACATGCAGATATTTACATTATTTCGCCGTAATTATTTCATAATTACGCATATATGTTTATACATTCGACGGCGGAATAGAATATGTATAAGCATAAATCGTGAAATTGCCTAAACACTTTCGAAAGAATATATATATAATAAAATAAAAAATCCATGGCCCGTAGAAATTAAATAAGAATACAATAATGAAGTAAATTCCGATAAAAAGTAACATCATGTGTATTAAACAACTATCCTACCATTTGACAAAGATTGTTGGTAGAGATTATCGATGTATTGTAAAAACAAAAAAAGTACTCTACTTTCCACACGTTCAAATTGTAGTTTAGCCTTTTCCTTTGTAGAAATTACGCAAAATTATTATTTTCCTTTCGATATTACATAACCAGTCATGGAAGAATGGAGATTTACTTGAATTGTAAACGTATTCTTTTCGTGTCAATTGAGGAAGAAGCGCCGGATTCCGGTGGAAGAAATTCACGAAGAAATAAACTACGAGCCATTTCTATAACAATCGGCACAAACGAGAAACGTATTAATCGAACAATTTTTAAGAGGAAGTCGAGATGATCGCTGATATAGTTACACTCGTGTTTTTTTTTCTTTTCATGTTAATGGCGTAGAGGCACCTACCACATCTCTATAACGCCTCCGTCCTTATAATATATTTACAAAATGGACTCGTTCCATGAACGAGACGAGTCGACCGTGCCGTTCATGAAACAAGCTAAGGCTGCGAAGCATAATCGGATTTGCCGAAATTGCATTTTTTCAATTTTGGATTTAGTTTGAATTGGCACGTTGCAAAGTGCGATAAATTTGTGCATTTCTATCAGAGAGACTTTGTGTAAACGGAGCTAGACAAACGTGTCTTGAAACACACACACATCTCTCTGGGACGCATCTGAATACAATTAATCGTAAAAGCGTAGAAAAATTCAACGAACGGAAGGATGTTAGCGCTGCAAAGAAGAAACTTGGTTTCCCTAGTTGCAAGTTACGGCCAGGAGAGAACAAGTCCGGTATGAGAAGAAAGGCAGGGAAGCCACTGCGATTATACGTTGTTTTCATCTTGCGCGCGTGTTTCACGCGAATCCGGAGAGATTACGGATCGCAATCTCTCCTTAAATGGCTAAGAGCGCGCAGAATTTGCGAATATAATACAACTTGTATCTTACAATCGACCCTCGATATAAAAATCTACGAAACTATCCACAGTTTACTGGCGGAGGTTCCAAGCCGCGTGGAACCGAAATGGCGCTCGTCCGCACGAACTCGAAAGATTGCTCGATAGGCAGGAGCCCATGTCTCATCTTTCCTTCTAGTCCTTGTTTTTTCCAGGATACACGGCTCTCTCTCTCTCCTGCTCTCCTCTTCGTACTCGTTGTACCTTGAAATACACAGCTCGATTCCGACTTATTCCATGGCTATGCTCTTCAGCACGTAGTTGACCGTGTACGCGAACGCCGCGAAGCTGATGATGACGACGAGATTCGCCAGCGCGCTGTGCAGTGGGCTCTGTTCTCGCTGGAACTGGTCCCGTATCAACGAAGAGACCTCGGACGTGGTGGACTGATGCCTCGCTTGCTTCTCAAGTTCTTTCCGACGTTCCAGCTCCGCTCTGATCGCCTACGGTGATATCAAATTGAATCGACGGTATCTTACATGTATCAGTGAACGCATTATTATCAGCACAGTACGGATTTCAGTACCTCGACAGTTTCTGGAAAGAGCTCGCAGAATATCTTATCCCTCAGATTATATTCTAAGCTTTGCGCAGCCAGCAGTCTCTTCTCGTAGTCCGTCGTATTAATACTGCCGAGCGTGGGACTCTTCTCGATCTGTAAATGCAAGACTGACGTTATTAAATCTCCTCAAACTAAACTCCGCCGAGGTAATTCTCAAGGCCTGCGCCCACGGTGCTAGAACTTGGCCCGAGTTCTAGCCCCGAGAAGTGCGCAGCCAATCAACTTGCAGCTACTGAACAGAATTATTGGCCACACATCTCTCGGAACTGGAACTTGGACCGAGTCCCAGCATCACGCAGGGCCTTTACAACTCACCATAAAACTGAGCAAGCCGGTGAGGATGGTAGATACGCTCCACGCTGGATTCCACGTGTCCGGATGAAAATCGGAGATGGACAGGCACAGTCTCGTGTTGGTTTTAAATCGGCCGTTGGGAGTAATCATGTAAATGCTAGGAGGCTGGAATGGAAACTCCCCGGGGAATATGAGCTTTCCATGATAAAAGCCGCCCTCGTACGGCGTCTTTTCCGGCCCTATGACCACGTAATGCCTGTAACAAGCAGAGCCCGCGTTATTCGTCGACCGGAGCGGGATACAAAGTGGCTTAACCAGAGCTTGGGCTTGCCATTCTAAGATGTTCGAAGGCACTGGCTCCGCAAGGACGTACGGCACCGGGTCTTTCTTAAGCCGCAGATAGTCCTGTTTCAACCTCGCCGTCGCACTGTTGGTCTTTCTGCTCATCCTTACCATATAGCCCAGTGTTATTTGCAAACGGACAGGTGTTGAAAATTCCCCCTCGCACTCGCGCTACACTTTTCCCGTACGACGGTGAGGCGGACTCCTCCTCGCCAACCGCGAGACTCCGCTCGTCGTCTCGTCGACTCGCTCACAGGCCGGAATCTCGCGTGAGAGCAGTCTCGTAGAGTCGCATCGCGGGCGTACACGTGGAATCGGCCGCTGTCATCCGCCCCCGCTGCGGGGAAGATCTTTGGAGAGCGACGGACCTCGAGCGCTACGGTGTCACGGAGTGAGGTTAGGTTGCGTGGAATGACGAACGTGGGACTCGGCGACGTTCGGGTGCGTGCGTGACCCCGTGGGGAAGCGTGCGGTAGAAGCGCGTCGGGTCGACGTCGACGGACGTCTGGCTGGACGAGATAAGCGCACGGCTGACGTATCACCACGGCGGGACGCGAGCGCGCGCGACCGCCGGCCGAAACGGAACTCGCGAGCCGTCGTGCGACAACGCGAAACATCTGACTGCGAGGGATCCGTTGGAATTAATTCGTCCTCCGGCGCGCAGGATTAACCGCGCTCCACCGTGAGTGAGTCGCGGTAAATCGGGAATCTTTTCCAAAGACGAGGTGCGTAAAGGCTGGTTTACGCAAAGGCCGTATAACCGTTAACTTATTGTGCAATCGATAACAAATTAAGTTTTCGGGATTCCCGATTTTCGCCATTTCAAGTTTGAAGTTCTCGGAATTTTTGAAAAACTCGGAGTTTTAGATTGTGCGACCTCTTTGCCGATCATGTTCTCCTGATACTTTGTTAATTTTTGTGATTTGATGTTTGAAATTCTCGGACTTGCAATTCTTGGAAATTTAGATAGTGCCACCTCTTTGCCGTTCACGTTCTCCTGATACTTTGGCAGTTTCCGAGATTCTCAATTTTCGTGATTTGAAATCTGAAATTCTCGAAGTTCCAATTATTGAAAATTTAGATAGTGCCACCTCTTTGCCGATCATGTTCTCCCGATACTTTGTTAGTTACCTCAATTTTCGTGTTGTGAAATCTGAAATTCTCTGAATTCCAATTCTTGGAAGTTGTAAAAAAATTCTTGGAAGTTCAGATAGTGCCACCTCTTTGCTGATCAAGTTCTCCCTTT